GAAACAAAAGTTGTAGAAAAATATTGTTGATCTGAGAATAATTAACTCTATATTATAATAATAAAATAATAATATTTAGTTTTAATTTAAAAAAAATTAGTAAATCAGATCTCTAATTTGTTAATTATAATTTGTTGTTCCAATATTATTTTTTCAATGTAAAAATTTCCTTAATCAATGTTTGCAAGGCTGAACATTACCTTGTGCCTAATCATTGGCAAATCAGGTTTTACAACTGGATATAAAAGCAGATTTCTGACAAGACAGTGATAAACTTTGTGTGTGACCGGTCACTGATTCACCTACACCCCTGTACTGCTTTTCCTCCTAAACACGCATCGAAAACATGTTCATCATACAGCAATATTTTGAACACTGATGCAATTTCACTATGTCCCAATACATGTTTCAGAATTTTATTTAATTAATTAATTAATTAATTAATTAATTAATTAATTAATTAATTAATTAATTTATTTATTTATTTATTTTGTAAATTACTCAAACTATTAAGACATCCACAAACATGTTACTGTAAAAACTGTAAACCAGTTTATTACTGGCTTTAAAATGCATCATGCCCTAAAAAGTAAAAAAAGTTTTTAAGGTATAAAAAAATCAGATCCTTAGAAGTGAGGTTATATGGAAAGAATAAATATATTGTTCTTTGTAGATACCTCCTTGTATGCCTTTACTTTGGAGGTACAGAGTGATACCAGATTCAGGAGCTAAAGGCTAGTCCAAGTGGTGTCAAGACCAAAGTATTTTTTTAGGCTAAAAAATAGACCAAAGTAGATTGCTGCCATCTTGAATTTACTCTGAACGCTATCTTTTTTTTTTTTTTTTTTGCATGTTATTTTTTTCAGCAGAAATAATTTATTATTCCGGCAGAAAGTGCTACAGCTAGTTGTTCCTGCCACTTTGTCTGCTTGCGAAGCAGTGTTCTATGACTTTGTATGTGTTTTAGTCATGATCACTATTGAAACATTCAGTTTCATCATGTATTTCTTAGATTATAATTTTAAAGCACTAAATTCAATGTCAGTGTCTTGAGATAATATTGTTTTACTTTCAAAAGGTAACATTTTGACTCAGAATTTTTAATTCTGAATTACTGAAGGTTTAACGAGTTGAAATTGTAGATTGATGTTTTGTATCTACTTTTACAGCATTGTACACATATTTATATATGCTGTGTATATATA